TGCTTTAAAAAAGGAGAAGAACAAGAGGAAGAAGAACAGGAGGAAGAACAAGAAAAAGAAGAGGAGGAGGAGGAGGAGGAGGGGGAGGAGGAGAAGGAGGAGAAGGAGAAGGAGGAGAAGAGGAGGAGGAAGAAGGAGACTGTTTCAATCACAGATAGGTATTTATTGTTTTTATATGTAACAATGGTATTATGATTATGCATTTTTGAAAATATTTCATTGTTAGTGCTATATACAGAAATATTTATGATTCAAGTAATATAATGCTGGGCATAGGTTTCTAAATAATTGCAGAAAGAAGAGGTACATGTAAAAAGCTTGGCCATGAGCTGTCAATTTTGAAGGTTGATGATGGGAAGGTTCATTATATGAATTTCTTGACTTTTGCTCAGAATTGAAAATACACATAGTACAAAGTAAAAATACTAATAATAACTTTATGTGCCTAGCTCTAGTTGCTATTCTAGACATGTGGGCTGAAAAACATATCAACTCAACATGAAAACAACACTCATGCTGACAAGCATATTAAAAAGGATAATAAATGAAGAAAACCTCAAGGGGAAACTAGAGCGCAGGTAAGAATAAATATATATTGACCAGTAATCGAAGATTCACAAATTCACAGCTGGAAGAGGCCTTAGAACTCAGCTCTTTGAAATCCTTTAATTTAGGATGAAACCCAGTGATGTTAAGTCATGAGTAACTAACTAGAAGCCTATGCTTACGCACTTTACTTTACTGAGGATGTAGAGAATGTTACATTACAAATGGGTGATTAGGGAAGATTTAAGTGATATTGCTTCCTAGTGCATCTAAAACTTGAGGCTGATGACCCTGAGCATAGCTATCAGATAGCTGGCATGCAGTATAGTTCTGAGTAAGCCTCTAGCTGCTGCTTGGCCACTGTCAACCATCACTATCACTACCATCAATAATAACAATGGCAACCATTTCTATAACAGGCACTGTTCTAAGTGCTTTGCATATACTGGCTCTTTAATCCTTCCAACAACACTGTGACATAGACTCTATTATTATCCCCATTTTTAGGGAGGATGAAACTGAGGCAGAGAGACTAAGAACGTACCCAAGGTCACACAGCTGGAAATGGCTAGTAACCCAGGCAGTCTTGCTCCAGCAAGGCTGTCAAATACCATACCCTACCCTACCCTACCCTACCCTACCCTACCCTACCATACCATACCACACCACCAGTCACACCAATCACTTTGGCAATTCTGCCATTTTCCTCCAGGTGTCCACATCTACTAACCTAACCCTGCATCAGTGCCTGCTACTTTCTTTTATTCTCTCCTGTCCATGCTGAGAGACAGGGAGACATAATCAGAGGGCATGGCCCACATGGCCTGCGTTGATCCGTGCCATGTCCCGATTCTCCTGTTGCTCTGCCACAATAATCCTTAGGAGCCACTGCCATTTACTTATGTGGGAAATAAGTAATCCAACACACTATGTGAGAAAGGAAAATAATGATGGCACCTTGTATTTCTGTAGTACATATTCATTCTTAGCAATTTTTACCTCAAGATGATAATGATTTCAATTATTTGTCTATGTATTAAGAGGCTACTCTTTAAAGCAGGAGTGGGGAACATCTACCCCGAAGGTTGTATGAGGCCCGCAAAATCATTTGGTATGGCCTTGCGAGGCATTAGGGGTGAGTTAATTAAATGTTTGATCCAATATAGCAGGTTAATTTTTAAGTTGGTAATTCTGGATAGCCCACAGATGACGGTATAAACATCCAAATGGCCCTTGGCAGAAAAAAGGTTCCCAACCCCTGTTTTAAAGTATAGAAGAGTTTCCTCACCAATAAAAAAAGCAG